GAATAGTTGTTGTTGTTGTTGATGATGGCAACTGATAATACCTTACCAAGGCACGGAAGCTAAAAGAAAAACTGTGGTCTATTTTTGAAAACGACCCGACATCAAAAAACCTGAATCATGCACTACATCAGCAGAGTGCTTACGAGAAGAAGCAACAGCAGCTCATGATATGCTATGAGAATAAAGCAGCAGCCCAGCTAAAAATAAATCCAAAAGCTTTCTACAGCTATATGAACTCCAAGCGCAAGATTAGGGCTGCAATATCTGGAATCAGAGATGCTAGTGGGGATGAACTCCACTCAGCACATGATATGGCTAACCAACTTGGGATTTTCTTTGAGAGCACGTTTGTAAAGGAGGATCAGGCCTCAATACCTGACCCACTACCCGGAGACAGCGCAAAGGAGACGATTCCTGACCTGAAATTCAATACAAGTGAAGTTCAAGATCAACTTCGTAAAGTTAACATCTGGAAGTCCGTTGGACCTGATGATATACACCCCAAGCTTTTGAAAACACTAGCCGAAAACAAACAGTTTGCTGATTCAGTCACAGCACTGTTCCAAAAATGCTACAACGAGGGAAAGATTCCCGAAATCTGGAAGCAGGCAAATGTCACTGCATTGCATAAAAAGGGGGATAAATCCCAAGCCAGCAATTATCGCCCTATTAGCCTAACGTGCGTTCTTTCCAAGATCTTTGAGAGGTTTTTAAGGAACCATATTCTAGCTCACGTATCCCCCATGATTGTGAATGAACAACACGGTTTCCTACCAAAAAGATCCTGCGTCTCGAACCTACTGGAATGTATGGACATTGTCAGTGAGATACTAGAGAAGGACGGGTCAGCTGATATACTGTATCTCGATTTTCAGAAGGCTTTCGATTCTGTACCACACAAACGATTGCTGAGAAAATTACAATCCTTTGGAATATCTGGCAACACCCTTGCAGTCGTGGAAGACTTTCTAACAGGAAGAACATTTCGCGTCAGGGTTGGATCATCATTTTCTAGAGTGTTTGCTGTAACATCTGGGGTCCCTCAAGGAACCGTGCTGGGCCCCCTGCTCTTCCTGCTCTTCATAAATGATCTCCCTGATGGAATTGAGAGCTTCGTATCACTCTTTGCGGACGATCTTAAGCTAGTAACGAGCACAGCTAAGCACAGTGTTGCACAAGATGATATACTGAAACTCAATGCGTGGGAGAAGGAATGGCTCCTAAGATTCAATGTGAAGGATGGCAAGTGTAAGGTACTACATATTGGGCGTAACAATCCAATGCACGAGTACTTCATGAATGGGGAACGCCTCCCCCAAATGAAGGCAGAAAAGGATCTTGGAGTTCTAACTACCAGAAACTGGACTGGAGTGATCATATAGATAAGTCCGTGAAAAAAGCAAAGTCTGTTATATATAGGCTGGATCAAACGAAGTTTGATCTGCCGTAACAAATTTGTTATGCTAAATGTCTACAGAACTCTAGTTCGACCTCACATCGAATACGCTGTGCAAGTGTGGAATCTACCAGCAGAGCACGGAAACTGGAGGACTATTAAGAAGATAGAAGACGTTCAGAGAGAATTTACACGAATAATCGACGGGATTGGTATCCTACCATACGATGAGAGACTGAGAATCCTCCAGTTAACACTACTGGAGCGCCGTATGAGGGGTGATCTTATTGAAACCTTTAAAATAACGACGGGTAAAGTGGACTATGGACAAGATCTTTTCAGGATATCACGTAGCGGTACCAAGATCCTAAAAGATAAAAGAGGAAATCAGGTCCTCAGTAACCGTGTTGCCAATTACTGGAACAAAGTACCAAGTTCGGTTAAAGAAGCCAGTTCAGTAGACGCATTCAAAGCTCGACTTCAATGTTATAAAAATGAACTGATAGCGAGTGGAGCATCGTCAAAGGGTCACTTCTGGGATCTCAGCGAAACCTTGATGTCAAAAATAAATACATGTGAGCATGATTCATATGCACATTTCATGTCTAATAACCCATTGATTGCTAAATACCGAGGAATCAATGTTTCTTGATTGTTAAATTCAGAACTACATGTTAACGTCCTAAAAATAATTAATCATTAAATGTTCCGGATAGGAACATTTTTCTTTTTGATAATATTGTGCGAACTGCAATAGCGTAGAGTGCAGTTGGGTTTCAAGTTTTGTCGAGATGGCCATGTGGCCATAATCCTATTATTATTATTATTATTATTACCAAAAACGAACGACTTATATTGCACATTTAAATCATATTCATTTTTATCATTGAGTAATATACTACGCTACAATCAATTCTATTTGTAATTAATTATATCCGAGAGACCACATTTGAATCGTAATCAATAGTTTGATCCAGCAATTTACTACGCTACAATTAATGGCAAATTATGCTAGTCCTAACTAATTGCATCCAAGATACCATACATACCATGCAATTTCATAACATTTGCGGTCATATGATCTGCAGTAACCAATCAACTATTCAACTATTCACGAACAAGTACAACTGTTCACGAACACCTGTTTGCGAACAGTTGTTCGCGAACAGGGGTCGGGCTATCTGGAAACTGCCCAATTCCTTATCACTTACAATTGCGCTTTTTGACAAGCTAGTTTCCTGTTCTACAGCTGTTTCCAATATTCTCAGAGTAAGTTGTTTAGTTGGTTCAGGGATATTATCCCTGACTGAAAGTAAGTTATGAAAGGTCTTCTTGGAGGAGTGTTAATAATTAGTTAATAATTAGCCTGTCTAATCTGAATAGTTGACACGTCGTGTTTGATTACAATGAAAATGTGAGATTTACACACGTCTAATTATCAAAATAACTAATTACTTACTGTCAAAGGCTCTACCATACCGTATGCGTACTACACTCTCAATGGGCATGCCGAAAAGCTGCAAATCCATCGCAACTGAATTTACAGGTTATCAATATTAATAAAGATATTAAGTTACTTATATTTGGTTATTTCATCAAGAAATATAACACAACACACTTTCCTTTTAAATACAGAGTGTCTATATATATATTTGAACTTACCCTCATCTATCAAAAGAAGAATAACAGTTCTCGCCCCCATTTAATTGAACTTACCCTCATCAAAAGAAGAATAACAGTCCTCGCCCCCATCGTTCTCGTCCAAACACTTTAGGGAACTTAGTAACGGAAGTGCACTTCCTCCCAAGGTGAGAAGCAGTAAAATTGACAATTGCCTAGCCACTTGTAGCATGCCTAGATTGCAAGTTAGTTAGAACAGTTGGTACATAAATGGTGGCCAATTTAGATCCTCACAATTCTTTTAAAGGTAACTAATAGTTTTACATTTATACGTCGAGTATAAATCAACACAACAGAACTTAGGCAGTGGATTGTAATAAAAAACAACATGAACGATAATCAAGGCCCGAGCTTAAGTTCAATATTCCTATTAATTGAATTTAAAGATTACCCGCTCGGGTTACAGCACTGCATGCATTCTCTTTTAGGGATTTAAACTGATCCTAAAAACAACAAAACTGCCTGATGGGGACAGTAAGGAAACCTGATGGTGCCCTCACCGAATTTAACGGGTACGGTGATGGTGATACTCGTGTCTCGTAAAATAATTGCCGAGGACCGTCGACGAGTCCAACTCGGCGCACGTTTTGTATTGGTAGGTTATAAACCTACAATCACTGAATCCCCAGCTGAAACACTGGCAGTCATGGCGGATGTCCACTTCGCCACGACATCAGGAACTCAACGGGACCAAAGAATCAACCAATTTTATGATCACCGACACTATTTGATTTACAGTTCTTTGCTTTTAAGCAAAAAGTTCTTTTAGTAGTATACACTTTAAAATCAAACATTATTATAATTTTATAATAAAGACATCAGCTTGTATTTTTAAATATAAAATCACGTCTTACCATTCTGATGATGATTTTTGGATTACAAAACATATAATAGTATAACCGATTTTTTGTGCAATTTTAGGCTAGGTACAATCATAAAAGTAAATAAATAACTTGATTCACGATGTCAATCCTTCGCAGCTTGGTGAGACGTACACAGTGGTGCATTTCGCCGATCTACCGAAGGTTGCGAGAAGCATTATTAATATTTGATGCGCGCGCGACCCAGTAGTGCATCGCGCTACAAATAAATAACTAAATTAATATTTTTGATTGGTTTCGAGCTCAAAATCAAAAACTATATTTGAACTTTACATGTTATGCAATTTAATCATATATATAATATTCGTAACATGGCGAATATTTTGCTAAAAATACGCAATTTACAGTTATACCCGCACAACCCAGGCGCAAATTATAAAATTAATAAGGCTAGGCGAATATTTTTTTACGCGTGTTACGTTCGATCGAGCGTTTAGTGGATATTTTACTAAGATGGCAAATTTTTCATATCACAATATTTGATACACTTACTGGGCGGCGCTCAGCCTGTCAGTGTCATTCCGCCGAATCTTTATGTTTATGAACATAATACTAATAGCCTGCATGGGGTCCCCAAGTAAAATATTCATCATGCCTCCTTATATATGAAATATTTGCATCATCGCGCGCACTATTGCAAATAGATCATAACATGGCAAATTAAAATATTTTGCTAAGAATAATACATATTTTGTTAGCGCGGCAATCATTTTGATCGTAGCGGTAGACGTAACACTAACACAGCCGCAATGTTGCAATCCGGGATCGGAGGGGCTATGCTATACATTATATTTATACTATATTGCATTGTTAATTCATTTGTGCTCTTTATTTTGCAATTGTTTTTATTGTAGCGTGATGCACTACTGCCTAGTCTACTGGGCCTCGCAACTTCGGTAGATAGGCGAAATGCACCAATGGGCCTCGCCGAGCTGCGATTGCGAAGGATTGACATTGTGAATCAACTGTTTATAATATTAATACTACTTAATTTTTGATAGAACGACCAGCCGCTGGACAAATTTGAAACTATTCTATTTGTTAGTGTTTCGTCCCAGGATGTGAATCATGTAAGAAGATCAGTTTGCAGATCACATTCATCATCCACGCCCATTTGGTGAGAATGAGATATAGTGTCCCAACATTTAATTTTCCTCAGTTATACTTATATCCGATATATAGCACCTTGTCCGTTTGTTTATATGATTTAATAATTATTCTGCAACTCAATTCAATAAAGAACTTACTAGAAATATGGACACAATTTGGTGCAGAATAAAAACTAGAGTGTTGTCTGTCTTAACAATAACCAATAAATATAAAAATTGTAAACCATTATAAATCAAATATAAACAGGATCAAATATAGTAAAATCATTTGGTGCAAAACGTGACTCACAGCAATAGAAAATCAAAACAGATAAAATATAAACCCCTTAAAAATCAATTTCAAAAAATTATAAATTATAAAACTCTATAAATGATTCATCAGGTCTGTTGAATGCTCAAACAGGAGTTGGAAATGTTCATTCCTCCTCCAAAATAGCTAGGTCGGGGTCGATGTTTTCTGGATATTCAGTTATGAACGGGGCAATCACGTCGCAAATCTCGAGCTGAAGTGTTATGTAAACATTAATTCAATCATTAAAAAAACCATAATGTCAACTTAATATATGGACATTAATTACATTGAAAATTATAGATAGATTACAAACTTGATGTTATTGTGCAAGAATTAGAAATAACATACAAATTCTGCTATTCACAGTTTTTACTTTATTCATTATTACATCAGTTATTATTCACAGTGCCTGAGTGCTTGAGTGAAGAAACAACAAATAAATTAAAATATACCTTATCGAAATCAGACGACAAATTCCTTATGAACTTCCTCGGTATCTTTCCATCGGACTTTCTTACCAAGAAATATTCCTGTGAGACATGTGGTATAACGAAACAGTGGACATCATTATAATATGGTAGTGTTACCATGACAACATTACCTTATATGGTAGTGTTACCATGACAACATTACCTTATATGGTAGTGGTACCATGACAACATTACCTTATAATTATATGGTAGTGTTACCATGACAACATTACCTTCTACGGTGGTGTCACCATGACAACATTACCTTATATGGTAGTGTCACCATGACAACATTACCTTATATGGTAGTGTCACCATGGCATTACTCGAGAGATGCGATAAAAGGAATCAGTGGACATCCTTATTTTCTTATTTATCATATTTGCATATTGATCATATTTGCATCCCATTACCTCAAAAACAATGCCAATAATTCTTACTAAAATTCTTAGTAAATTAAGCAGACCAACTAAATTTAACTAAACTAACGTCTTTTCTGATGAACATGATGAACTTCTCAAAGTAGGAAGGAGTCACAGCATCTATTGGAGATGACCCCATGCTATCCAGGTAGTCCCACTTGTCCACAGTGTCGTAGTAAGACTGGAACGTCATCTTAGATTTACTAATGGTTTCTCTGTACCACCTACCTACTTCTTCACGGGCAAACAACATGATACTGTTCCTGTCGAACCTGTGATATTTAAGTGGTTATATTTTATTCAAATTTGTAGATTTGTTAAGAAGGTGCCCTGAATGAGGTTCTGGAAGCAAAGTTTAATAAGGTCAGTTTCAAGTTTTGCAATGAAAAGTATCAAAATGGTACTTTATAAAACCAATCCATATCAATTAATTAATTTTATTATTATTATTACTAATTAATTTATTACTCACACTGTAGCTCCACGGAGAACATTTGTAGTTTTAAAAAGGCTCTTCAGCTTCTTGGGTTTACCCCCGCTCTTTTTACCGCGCTCCTTCAATTTACCATCCTCTATGGAGCTTCTCTTTCCTGAAGTGCATTGTGTAACACTGAATAGTTCCACGCTGCTCGGGATTAATAACTCTAGTGTAACCTCATTAAAATACAATATCGGTGGTCCGTGGTATATATAAGTATATAGATTAGGTAGGAGCAACAACAAATAAGTAATAATTTACCCCTGACTTTCCATTCGTACACCTCCTGATCATCGATGAAGTAAATCATTTTCCTGTCATAAGGATTTGTTACAACTGCTGAGAAGGATTGTGGAATCTGAAATTGTCACAGCTTATGACATCAGTTTAAATTGTTCGCAATCTAATGAACACCACTGTATTATGAGTGTGTCTACATAATAAATAGATAAATTGTATTGGTAACTGATTCTTATAATTGTGTAATAAAGGATCCTTTGTGAAGTATCATTACACTACTGACCCCCTCGAAGTTGTCTGCAATGTCTTTAGGGTACCCAGGTTGCAGGGTGGGTCTGGAGTTTGTGTAGAAATATTTGAAATATTTAGCGTTACCAAATATGTAGAGGAAGTTACCGCGTCTTATTGCACCCCTGCGAGACAGTGACCAATGTTAATTACAGAGACAGGTGCGTCATTTGTCATGTAATGTGTATATACAATTATCTGTTTCAAACAGTTTGATTGACCTCCCCCCCTTATGATTATAAGATTGTATGTTCCATAATTCATGTACCCCTCCTCCAACCCCCCAGCAATCTGACCTGATGTAGTTCTGACAAGGTGCGAATGTAGGCATCACAGTGTTGGGTTGGGTGACTATCTCCGGTGTTGGTGTTGGTGTGGTTACCTCTTTAAAGTCTTCTTCTCTCTGAGGGTATTACTGTGTAGGTGGTGTAAATTACACACAACTTCTTAGGAAATCTGGGTATACCTGGTTACCTGGGTACCTGGTTACCTGGGTACCTGGTTACCTGGGTACCTAGTTACCTGGTTACCTGGTTACCTGGTTACCTGGTTACCTGGTTACCTGGTTACCTGGTTATCTGGTTACCTGGTTACCTGGTTACCTGGTCACCTTTTTTTTAAATCAAGACACTTATTTTACTTCGGTGTATTCCAACAGCCACATTGTTACACATGTGTAACCAGCCAATTACAGGAAGCCGAAGGATTTATTTGGCCAGTGACGGTTAAGGTAGTGTGTACCATACTTTCTTCGCCCGAGACTTTGCTGTAATGTGCAGCTCCTCATTTAACCCTCACACCCGATTTATCGAGTATTCGGCTTAGTAGACCGGGGGCTGCATAGACCACTCAGGATCCTTAGCTGAACGTCAACGACCAGGCAGACAGTGGGATTTGAACTCGCAACCTCACGATTGTAAAGCTGGCGTTCTAACCAACTGCGCTACCTGGCCTCAAAAGGTAACCACCCGGTTACCTGGTTACCTGGTTTACTGGAGAAGATGGCCTGTGTTAGAGCTAAACATGTGGTAATACCTTTTCACAGACGTAGTGCTCTGTCTTAGCTTTCTTTATGTTCGTGCAATGAACAAACTCCCACTTTGCGCTACCGCTGTACGCAGCTGTAAAGTTGCTAGGGTTATTAAGCTTACTAAGGTTACTTAGGTTACTGTGGTGACTAAGGTAACTAAGGTTACTAGTTTACTAAGGTTACCACTGTACGCAGCTGCAAATAATTATATAGTAAGAAATGAAAAATGTATCTTTTTGCTTCTAAATTTCAATAAATATAATTGTATATGGCTCAACGTTGGATGGCCTTAAAAGCTTAAAGTTAAAACATAAATGCAGCTCAAAATCTTTAAAAGAGTTTTAAAAGAGTTTTCTTTATAAATCAAACAATAAACTCACTAGCTCGAAGACACCTAGTTGAGGAAGGGTCCATCTGTTTAGCTTTATTAATCTCAGGGAACCAGTCAAACGACTCGCCACTCACCCACCCATCTTCAGAGGATTTCCTCCTGAGCACATCATGTTGTTAATATAATCAGTCTACATTCCGCCCCCCCCCCCCCCCCCCACCAACCTTCATTTTATACACAACTTTTTAACCGTCTTATTAAAAAGTAATGATTCAAAACATTTTGGTGAATTACAAAAATTATCTCACCCTATCCAATAAGGTGATCGTCCATTAGCAACTGTTGCGAGTATGTACACGTTTAACGGACCATTCCTGACTGTTGCTAGTCTTGCACCTGGGTAAAGTGTGATTAGTTCATCCATGAACATATTTACTGACATTGTATATTATATGATAACAACAAACTAAATTTAAAAGATAATGAACCTGGTTACCTGGTTACCTGGTTACCTGGTTACCTGGTTACCTGGTTACCTGGTTACCTGGTTACCTGGTTACCTGGTTACCTGGTTACCTGGTTACCTGGTTACTAACCTATATCTTCACACTCGGTTTGTGCATCGTCCCAGGTAATTCCTGCTGACACTGTGTGAGCAATGTAACATACTCCCTCAAATCTGTGCCAATCATCAGGACAGTTCGAAGGTCCTGCAGATACAAGAGGATATTAATAACTTCATAAAGGGAGAATAATACTGGATACAAGAGATTATTACTTACAGGGGGGGGGGGAAATAACAGGGAGGTTATTACTTATGGGGGGGGGGGGGGGGGGGGTAACATGGAGGTTATTACTTACAGGGGGGGGGGGGGGGGTAACATGGAGGTTATTACTTACAGGAGGGGGGTAACATGGAGGTTATTACTTACAGGAGGGGGGGGGGGGTAACAGGGAGGTGATTACTTACATGGGGGGGGGGGGGGGGGGGTAACAGGGAGGTTATTACTTACAGGAGGGGGGTAACATGGAGGTTATTACTTACAGTGGGGGGGGGGGGTAACAGGGAGATTATTACTTACATTGGGGGTAACAAAGAGGTTTATACTTACAGGGGGGGGGGGGGGGTAACATGGAGGTTATTACTTACAGGAGGGGGGTAACATGGAGGTTATTACTTACAGGAGGGGGGGGGGGGGTAACATGGAGGTTATTACTTACAGGAGGGGGGTAACATGGAGGTTATTACTTACAGGGGGGGGGGGGGGGGTAACATGGAGGTTATTACTTACAGGAGGGGGGTAACATGGATGTTATTACTTACAGGAGGGGGGGGGGGGTAACATGGAGGTTATTACTTACAGGAGGGGGTAACATGGAGGTTATTACTTACAGGGGGGGGTAACATGGAGGTTATTACTTACAGGAGGGGGGTAACATGGAGGTTATTACTTACAGGGGGGGGGGGTAACATGGAGGTTATTACTTACAGGAGGGGGGTAACATGGAGGTTATTACTTACAGGAGGGGGGGGGGGGGTAACATGGAGGTTATTACTTACAGGAGGGGGGTAACATGGAGGTTATTACTTACAGGGGGGGGGGTAACATGGAGGTTATTACTTACAGGAGGGGGGTAACATGGAGGTTATTACTTACAGGAGGGGGGGGGGGGTAACAGGGAGGTTATTACTTACAGGGGGGGGGGGTAACAGGGAGATTATTACTTACATTGGGGGTAACAGGGAGGTTATTACTTACAGGGGGGGGGGTAACAGGGAGATTATTACTTACATTGGGGGTAACAGGGAGGTTTATACTTACAGGGGGGAGTAACAGGGAGGTTATTACTTACAGGGGGGTAACAGGGAGGTTATTACTTACAGGGGGGGGTAACAGGGAGGTTAATACTTACATTGGGGGTAACAGGGAGGTTTATACTTACAGGGGGGAGTAACAGGGAGGTTATTACTTACAGGGGGGTAACAGGGAGATTATTACTTACATTGGGGGTAACAGGGAGGTTAATACTTACATTGGGGGTAACAGGGAGGTTAATACTTACAGGGGGGAGTAACATGGAGGTTATTACTTACAGGAGGGGGGGGTAACAGGGAGGTTATTACTTACAGGGGGGGGGGGGGTAACAGGGAGATTATTACTTACATTGGGGGTAACAGGGAGGTTAATACTTACATTGGGGGTAACAGGGAGGTTAATACTTACAGGGGGGAGTAACAGGGAGGTTATTACTTACAGGAGGGGGGTAACATGGAGGTTATTACTTACAGGAGGGGGGGGGTAACAGGGAGGTTATTACTTACAGGGGGGGGGGGGTAACAGGGAGATTATTACTTACATTGGGGGTAACAGGGAGGTTAATACTTACATTGGGGGTAACAAGGAGGTTAATACTTACAGGGGGGGGGGTAACAGGGAGGTTAATACTTACAGGAGGGGGTAACATGGAGGTTATTACTTACAGGAGGGGGGGGGTGGGGTAACAGGGAGGTTATTACTTACAGGGGGGGGGGTAACAGGGAGATTATTACTTACATTGGGGGTAACAGGGAGGTTAATACTTACATTGGGAGTAACAGGGAGGTTAATACTTACAGGGGGGAGTAACAGGGAGGTTAATACTTACAGGGGGGGGGTAACAGGGAGGTTATTACTTACAGGGGGGGGGGGGGGGGGTAACATGGAGGTTATTACTTACAGGAGGGGGGTAACATGGAGGTTATTACTTACAGGAGGGGGGTAACAGGGAGGTTAATACTTACAGGGGGGGGGGGGGTAACAGGGAGGTTAATACTTACAGGGGGGAGTAACAGGGAGGTTAATACTTACAGGGGGGAGTAACAGGGAGGTTAATACTTACAGGGGGGGGGGGTAACAGGGAGGTTATTACTTACAGGAGGGGGGGGGGTAACATGGAGGTTATTACTTACAGGGGGGAGTAACAGGGAGGTTAATACTTACAGGGGGGGGGTAACAGGGAGGTTAATACTTACAGGGGGGTAACATGGAGGTTATACTTACAGGAGGGGGGTAACAGGGAGGTTAATACTTACAGGGGGGGGGGGGTAACAGGGAGGTTAATACTTACAGGGGGGAGTAACAGGGAGGTTAATACTTACAGGGGGAGTAACAGGGAGGTTAATACTTACAGGGGGGGGGGGTAACAGGGAGGTTATTACTTACAGGAGGGGGGGGGTAACATGGAGGTTAATACTTACAGGGGGGAGTAACAGGGAGGTTAATACTTACAGGGGGGGGGGTAACAGGGAGGTTATTACTTACAGGGGGGGGTAACATGGAGGTTATTACTTACAGGAGGGGGGTAACATGGAGGTTATTACTTACAGGGGGGGGTAACATGGAGGTTATTACTTACAGGAGGGGGGTAACATGGAGGTTATTACTTACAGGAGGGGGGTAACATGGAGGTTATTACTTACAGGAGGGGGGTAACAGGGAGGTTATTACTTACAGGGGGGGGGGGTAACATGGAGGTTATTACTTACAGGAGGGGGGTAACATGGAGGTTATTACTTACAGGGGGGGGGGGGGTAACATGGAGGTTATTACTTACAGGAGGGGGGTAACATGGAGGTTATTACTTACAGGAGGGGGGTAACATGGAGGTTATTACTTACAGGAGGGGGGGTAACAGGGAGATTATTACTTACATTGGGGGTAACAGGGAGGTTTATACTTACAGGGGGGAGTAACAGGGAGGTTAATACTTACAGGGGGGGGTAACAGGGAGGTTATTACTTACAGGGGGGGGGGTAACATGGAGGTTATTACTTACAGGAGGGGGGTAACATGGAGGTTATTACTTACAGGAGGGGGGTAACATGGAGGTTATTACTTACAGGAGGGGGGTAACAGGGAGGTTATTACTTACAGGGGGGGGGTAACAGGGAGATTATTACTTACATTGGGGGTAACAGGGAGGTTATTACTTACAGGGGGGGTAACAGGGAGATTATTACTTACATTGGGGGTAACAGGGAGGTTAATACTTACAGGGGGGAGTAACAGGGAGGTTATTACTTACAGGGGGGGGGGTAACAGGGAGGTTAATACTTACAGGGGGGTAACAGGGAGGTTAATACTTACATTGGGAGTAACAGGGAGGTTAATACTTACAGGGGGGGGTAACATGGAGGTTATTACTTACAGGAGGGGGGTAACATGGAGGTTATTACTTACAGGAGGGGGGTAACATGGAGGTTATTACTTACAGGGGGGGGTAACATGGAGGTTATTACTTACAGGAGGGGGGTAACATGGAGGTTATTACTTACAGGAGGGGGGTAACAGGGAGGTTATTACTTACAGGGGGGGGGGGGGGTAACAGGGAGATTATTACTTACATTGGGGGTAACAGGGAGGTTATTACTTACAGGGGGGAGTAACAGGGAGGTTAATACTTACATTGGGGGTAACAGGGAGGTTAATACTTACAGGGGGGAGTAACAGGGAGGTTATTACTTACAGGGGGGGGGGGGTAACATGGAGGTTATTACTTACAGGAGGGGGGGTAACAGGGAGATTATTACTTACATTGGGGGTAACAGGGAGGTTAATACTTACAGGGGGGAGTAACAGGGAGGTTTTTACTTACAGGAGGGGGGGGGGGTAACATGGAGGTTATTACTTACAGGAGGGGGGGTAACAGGGAGATTATTACTTACAGGAGGGGGGTAACATGGAGGTTATTACTTACATTGGGGGTAACAGGGAGGTTAATACTTACATTGGGGGTAACAGGGAGGTTAATACTTACAGGGGGGGGTAACATGGAGGTTATTACTTACAGGAGGGGGGTAACATGGAGGTTATTACTTACAGGAGGGGGGGGGTAACAGGGAGGTTATTACTTACAGGGGGGGGGGTAACAGGGAGATTATTACTTACATTGGGGGTAACAGGGAGGTTATTACTTACAGGGGGGGGTAACAGGGAGGTTAATACTTACATTGGGGGTAACAGGGAGGTTTATACTTACAGGGGGGAGTAACAGGGAGGTTAATACTTACAGGGGGGGGGGTTAAAGAGGGTTACAGTGAGGGGCTTGTATTGTTGGTTGAACTGTTGTAGACAGTACCTCTAATAAACTAATAATAACGTATAATCTGCTTTACAAATGTGCGCTCACCCTGGCCAGCGTACAGTAGCTTAACAGCCAGAATATCTGAGTCATGTAACTCTCCGTTGTAATCTCTGAGAATTAACAAACTCTTAAACTTGTTATATTCTCCAAAACTTTAAATGGAAATTTTGCTTTGTTTAGCTCTTTTTACTGATTCTTGCAACTATTATTTTCATTGACTTTGTAACTCACTCTGGTATGGTGGTGGAGTCCAATATAGAAAGCATCACCGAATCATCTACACTAGAGTGTCTCAACCCTGTGGAATATAAATAAGCTTATGAGAAAGGGCTAACAATTTGCTTGTGAAACATATATCTAGTATTAACCTATATCATTAAACGCTATAAATTATCCATTATCAGATTATCCAGTTCGCTTGAGGGAGTATAAATACAAGTGATTAATAATATATCGGTAATACATAATTAATGAATAATTAGTGATAACTATAAATAAATAATAACGTAATAATCATACCAAGGTAATGTCCCAGCTCGTGAACGGTTACGTAGATGAAATCCACTTTGTCGTCTGCATTAACTTCCCAAACTCTGTTTGCTCTGTAGTGAACCTGAACTTACTATAGTTATTGAATATTACTATTATCTTAGAGTCATTTCATCGTCTGCCATATATTAATCAAAAATGAGCACATGAATAATTGGAGTCATGTTGGAGGGTTTAAAACAGCACAATTAATTTGTATAGATGTAGATGAGTTTTGTAATTTCGTTCATATTGGCTATGGTCTATAGATGTCATTACATTACGAAAGTGTTTGTTTCTCGGGTTCAAGTGCTCTACTAAACAAAAAGGAACTTTTTATAAGCGTAACAAAGTAAACGATGTTATTGAAGATTGATGTCACTATAATAATATAAAGGCATAACTTACACTGCCATGATATTCGCTAGAAGGGAAGGGAGCATGAGCAAGTTCGTCTCCATCAAAAGTATAATCATTGTGTTCATCTGCAACGAACTCTAACTTAGCATCTGGTTTCTGACTAGTCTGAGAGGTAATGCATTAATTTTACTAATAGTTATAATTTGTATAATTTGTAAAGTTTGTAGATTCCTCTACAGGGTCATCGAATAGTTCGACCGCCCTTGTTTTACAGTACACTACAATGTAGATGTTCTGAAGGAGTATCCTAAGATTCTTGATCTTTTGGCACACATTCATTGAGTACATTTATTTTACTTACGGTGTTTTTATAATATACTATAAGACTTAGAAATGGGGTTCTAAAAGAATAATGCTCGACTTATAATACTGAATGAGAGTCTCCTTTCATTCTAGTAAATTACTGATAAGAACTAGATACTTACAGTACGTATAAAGGTCACAGCAGGCCCTATTGCATTGCTCCACGATTCAAAAGCAATATCAACCCCATCATTAGCGAATGGCATGCTTTGCCCTGATGGCTTGTTTATCAGATTGTAGGTAAACTCAGTTTTATCTGACAGGTCTAGTGTTCCTTTTGAAGTTGCTGCCCTTTTCCTTCTTCTGTTTGACTCATGGGAACTCCTGAACTCTCCCACTCTTTCTGTAATAATTGGTAAGAAATTTAATTTTTTAAATTTGACTTTTGTTATATTTAATTGTTACAGTAGATTCCCTGTAAGTTTTATTTATCTATTGGTCTAAGGAAGTACCACTATCAACATATTTTGATATGTTCCGTTTTTTTGAAAATTTATGTTTTTGTACAGGAATATAACATGTAAAATAATAAGGGGGCTATGGGAAAAATCACACCTATACCTAACGCAAATCACACCTATACTTAATGCAAATCACACATATACTTAATGCAAATCACACCTATACTTAATGCAAATCACACCTATACTTAATGCAAATCAAACCTATACTTAAAGTTAATACAAATCGCAAATATACATACTTAATGCAAATCTAACTGACCGTGAAGCGAGCTGAAAAAGAAGCTTACCTTTAAGATTATCCGTTCCTTCAAATTCAACAGCAGATAAGATTATTTCTGCAGATTGTTCATCAAGGTTGCCATCACTGTCAAAGTTAATGTCAGGGACCGAACATCGAGCATGGCTCATCTTTATGAAGATGTCTACGTTAGTTGCACTGTGAAGGGTGTGTTTGTATAAACTTTAAGGTATTATCTTTTTTGATATTGTGTTTGCACAAAACAAGCTAATCAAATAGAAGTTTGGAGGAAAGAACTATAACCTCTAAATTTACCCTCATTGTTTATATACAAGATTGGGTTCTATAAAAATTTTAAAAGCACTAAATTTCACATAATTTAACTAACACATTTCACACATTTCCTAGAATGATACTAACTGGGTAAATCTCTGGAATGTAATCATAGAAGCCAGTATCTCAGCAGAGCGGATAGTATCATCTGAGTCAGAACAAGACTTCATCACCTTCAACACCCCCTTAACGTACCCGTACTTTGTTAAATAACCCTGTAGAATAATAACATTCATACTTGGTTACCTGCAGTTACCTGGTAACCTGGTTACCTGCAGTTACCTGGTTACCTGGTTACCTGGTTACCTGGTTACCTGGTTACCTGGTTACCTGGTTACCTGGTTACCTGGTTACCTGGTTACCTGGTTACCTGGTTACCTGGTTACCTGGTTACCTGGTTACCTGGTTACCTGGTTACCTGGTTACCTGGTTACCTGGTTACCTGGTTACCTGGTTACCTGGTTACCTGGTTACCTGGTTACCTGGTTACCTGGTTACCTGGTTACCTGGTTACCTGGTTACCTGGTTACATGGTTACCTGGTTACCTGGTTACCTGGTTACCTGGTTACCTGGTTACCTGGTTACCTGGTTACATGGTTACCTGGTTACCTGGTTACCTGGTTACCTGGTTACCTGGTTACCTGGTGACCTGGTTACCTGGTTACCTGGTTACCTGGTTACCTGGTTACCTGGTTACCTGGTTACCTGGTTACCTGGTTACCTTCACGTTCCCGTACTTTGTTAAATAACCCTGTAGAATAATAACATTCAGGGCATATTTTATGCATCAGTATAGATGACCAATTTTGTATTCAAGCAGAAACTGTGAAATGTATGACAAGTTTCGTGATAATCGGTAGCTAAGTCTCAATTTCGCCATTTTATAGAGTTGAGACACCGTTAATGAACTGCGGAGTGACTAAAATGCTATACAGCAAAAACATAAGCCTCCAACCAAACCATCTACCTTTTGCCAATTATTTATTACTTACGATTATTGATCACTTACTATTGGGCTTTTTGATAAGCTAGTTTCCTGTTCTACAGCTGTTTCTAATAATCTCAGAGTAAGTTTTTTAGTTGGTTCAGGGGTATCCTGTTCGACTGAAAGGGGGTATTTAGTAAGTTATGAAAGGTCTTCTTGGAGGAGTGCTAAAGTTATTAATTAGCCTGTCTAATCGGGATAGTTAACACGTGAATGATTAAAATGAAATGTGAGATTTACACACGTCTAATTATCGAAGTAACTAATTACTTACACACGTCAAATTATCAAAGCAACTAATTACTTACTGTCAAAGGGTCGTACTCCAGCTTTCTGTATCTGTGCTAAACTCTCAATGGACGAGCCGAAAGCCCGCAAATCCAGCGCAACTGAATTTACAGATTATCAATATTAATAAAGATATTAAGTTACTTATATTTGGTTATTTCATCAAGAAATATAAACATAACTGGACACTTTTCGGCAGTATCGAGATAGCCCGACCACTGGTCCGCGGACCACTGTCCGCGGACCACTGTCTGCGGACCACTGTCTACCAGATCATATTACTGTATAATAACAGTATTCGAGGACGAGCAGGGAACCAGGGACATAGATGCATTACACCCAGGACAGGACATGGAGCTCTTTAGGAGGTTTTTCTGGAATAGGAAGTCTCTAGCATTCTCTAGGGAGGCGGTGGGTCCATTAATTTCGTCCATTAGACAGAAGAGTACCATGTCAGGAATTGGAATAGTTGTTGTTGTTGATGATGGCAACTGATAATACTTCACCAAAAACGAACGACTTATATACCACATTTTAATCGTAATCATTTATTTCATTGAGCAATCAATATTATTCGTAACTAATTATATCCGAGAGACCACATTTGAATCGTAATCAATAGTTTGATCCAGTAATTTACTACGCTACAATTAATTATGCTAGTCGTAACTAATTGCATCCAAGATACCATACTTTTCTTTTAAATACAGAGTGTTTATATATATCTGAACTTACCCTCATTAAAAGAAGAATAACATCCCTCGCCCCCATTCAATCAAACTTACCCTCATCAAAAGAAGGATAACATCCATCGCCCCCATTTAATTAAACTTACCCTCATCAAAAGAAGGATAACATCCCTCGCCCCCATTCAATCAAACTTACCCTCATCAAAAGAAGGATAACACCCCTCGCCCCCATTTAATTAAACTTACCCTCATCAAAAGAAGAATAACATCCCTCGCCCCCATTTAATTAAACTTACCCTCATCAAAAGAAGGATAACAACCCTCGCCCCCATTCAATCAAACTTACCCTCATCAAAAGAAGGATAACATCCCTCGCCCCCATTCAATCAAACTTACCCTCATCAAAAGAAGGATAACATCCCTCGCCCCCATTCAATCAAACTTACCCTCATCAAAAGAAGGATAACATCCCTCGCCCCCATTTAATTAAACTTACCCTCATCAAAAGAATGATAACATCCCTCGCCCCCATTTAATTAAACTTACCCTCATCAAAAGAAGGATAACATCCCTCGCCCCCATTTAATTAAACTTACCCTCATCAAAAGAAGGATAACATCCCTCGCCCCCATTTAATTAAACTTACCCTCATCAAAAGAAGGATAACATCCCTCGCCCCCATTTAATTAAACTTACCCTCATCAAAAGAAGGATAACATCCCTCGCCCCCATTCAATCAAACTTACCCTCATCAAAAGAAGGATAACATCCCTCGCCCCCATTTAATTAAACTTACCCTCATCAAAAGAAGGATAACATCCCTCGCCCCCATTCAATCAAACTTACCCTCATCAAAAGAAGAATAACATCCCTCGCCCCATTCAATTAAACTTACCCTCATCAAAAGAAGAATAACACCCCTCGCCCACATTTAATTAAACTTACCCTCAGTAAAAGAAGAATAACATCCCTCGCCCCCATTTAATTAAACTTACCCTCATCAAAAGAAGAATAACACCCCTCGCCCCCATTTAATTAAACTTATCCTCATCAAAAGAAGGATAACATCCCTCGCCCCCATTTAATCAAACTTACCCTCATCAAAAGAAGAATAACATCCCTCGCCCCCATTTAATTAAACTTACCCTCATCAAAAGAAGGATAACATCCCTCGCCCCCATTTAATCAAACTTACCCTCATCAAAAGAAGGATAACATCCCTCGCCCCCATTTAATTAAACTTACCCTCATCAAAAGAATGATAACATCCCTCGCCCCCATTTAATTAAACTTATTCTCATCAAAAGAAGGATAACATCCCTCGCCCCCATTTAATTAAACTTACCCTCATCAAAAGAAGGATAACATCCCTCGCCCCCATTCAATCAAACTTACCCTCATCAAAAGAAGGATAACATCCCTCGCCCCCATTCAATCAAACTTACCCTCATCAAAAGAAGGATAACATCCCTCGCCCCCATTTAATCAAACTTACCCTCATCAAAAGAAGGATAACATCCCTCGCCCCCATTTAATTAAACTTACCCTCATCAAAAGAAGAATAACAACCCTCGCCCCCATTTAATTAAACTTACCCTCATCAAAAGAAGAATAACATCCCTCGCCCACATTTAATCAAACTTACCCTCATCAAAAGAAGAATAACATCCCTCGCCCCATTCAATTAAACTTACCCTCATCAAAAGAAGAATAACACCCCTCGCCCACATTTAATTAAACTTACCCTCAGTAAAAGAAGAATAACATCCCTCGCCCCCATTTAATTAAACTTACCCTCATCAAAAGAAGAATAACACCCCTCGCCCCCATTTAATTAAACTTACCCTCATCAAAAGAAGAATAACACCCCTCGCCCCCATTCAATTAAACTTACCCTCATCAAAAGAAGAATAACACCCCTCGCCCACATTTAATTAAACTTACCCTCAGTAAAAGAAGAATAACATCCCTCGCCCCCATTTAATCAAACTTACCCTCATCAAAAGAAGAATAACAGTCCTCGTCCCCATCGTTCTCGTTCAAACACTTCAGGGAACTTAGTAACGGAAGTGCACTTCCTCTCAAAGTGAGAAGCAGTAAAACTGACAATTGCCTAGCCACTTGTAGCATGCCTAGATTGCAAGTTAGTTAGAACAGTTGGTACATAAATGGTGGCCAATTTGGATCCTCACAATTCTTTTAAAGGTAACTAATAGTTTTAGTATACGCGTCGAGTATAAAACAACACAACAGAACTTAGGCAGTGGATCGCAATAAAAAACAGTGTGAACGATAATCAAGGCCCGAGCTAAAGTGCAATATTTCTTTTAATTGAATTTAAAGATTAGCCGCTCGGGTTACAGCACGTTGCACCCTCTTTTAGAGATTTAAACTGATCCTGAAAGGGAGCCAAAATGGAAAAATGCAAAAAAAACACGGACATTATGGTTATCTCCCCTTCAATATGTTCCCTAATACTGTGGTAGGTGCTATAAATAAAAAGCAAGTCAACTATCCAACACTGCAAGTTAACGGTCAACATTTTTTGGGCAATCGAATTAACTGAGGCTAAAAACTTCAGTAAATCCTAACAAAATACGGTAATTGATTCCCTTTTGTGATCACGATGGTGATATAACTGATCATGTTTCTATTATTATCCGACATGACGACTCCTCATAGTTATTCTCTTATTGCAGGAAGTGCACATTAAACGAAACATCAGTAAGAGTTACAAAGAAGGAATAATGAAAACAAAACATAAGTTCTAATAATTAATAATTAATGTGTACAAGGTTTGTAAATGTACTATTTCCACAACATCAATGTCAGATTAAAGTAAAGAAAAGGAAATGAGAATAAGCTAACGATCCCTTACTTACTTCGTTACTTCGTTGAGTTCATCCGTGGAGCCGGAAGGGTCATCAGATATCTGACCACCTGGATGGCGAGTAGTCGACCAGTGAGTTTGACCAACTGCAGCTGTAGCCGGCGACCGGAGGGTTGTCCGGTATCAAAGCAAGAAAGTTCGACAAACTACACTTAAACATGTCAAAGGATGAATCAGCCTTTACTGTGTGAGGCACTTTGTTCCACAGCTTCGGTCCTTGAACTGCAAAAGACCTGTCGTACAGTGACTGGTTGCGTAAGGAACTTGACTTTGACAATGAGGGTATGACAGCTACATCCCCGTGTCTAGGGGTCACCTTGAATTTGATATCACAGCAGTTTGGTACCACATTATGGAGAATCTTCCACATCATCAGGATGATATACCTCTCCCGTCTGCGCTGTAGAGACATCAATTTAAGCTGTACGAGTCTTTCCCAATAGTTGAGATGTTGAAGACCGCCAATACGACTGGTGAAAGTTCTTTGCACCCCCTCTATCAGCTGTATTTCAGTCACCTTGGTAGGGCTCCAGAGTGGGCAGCAATACTCTAGTAAGCTTCTTACTAGTGACTTGTAGAGAGTAGTCATTACGGTCTTGTCGCGAGTTTTGAACACACTGAATACCCAAGATAGTGTGCTCCTTGCTTTGGGTACCATGTTGCCGATGTGTGTCGACCAGCTAAGATCACTTGAAACCATAACTCCAAGATCTCGGACGTTTTCGACAGGATAAAGTATGTCCTGACTGGATACTTTGTAACGCAGTGTTTCGGCAAAGAAGGGTAGTTCGGGGAATGAGCTCTTACTGTTATGGAGGTGATTTAACAGCTCGAACTTCTGCTCGTGAAGCTTCATGTTGTTGCTACGTGACCAGTCAAGAATCTTATAGATATCTTCTTGTAACAACTGACAGTCTTCAAAACAGCCAATCTGTTTGGAGACTCTAGTATCATCGGCGAAAAAACTCACCCTAGATGAGTCCACTACTTGTTCTAGATCATTGATGAACAAGATAAATAGAAGCGGCCCCAAAACGCTTCCCTGGGGAACACCACTTAAAACCTTTGCGATAACCGAGTGAACTCCATTAAGCACCACGACTTGTTCGCGATCAAAGAGAAAGGACTTTATCCACTCTATGAGCTTGCCATGAAACCCATATTTTTCCAGCTTGTGGATGAGAAGATTTAAGTCGACTTTATCGAACGCCTTAGCGTAATCCAGATATATAGAATCTGTATCTTCACCACGAGTAAACCCTTCGTAGATGTCGTCAAAATGGCCGAGCATTTGAGTCAAGCAGCTCCTATTCGCTCTGAAACCATGCTGCTTATCGGTCAAGAGACTGTTGGCTTCCAAATACTCCACCATATGTTTCCTTATCACTCTTTCATACACTTTTACAACGTGGGAGGTCAAAGTGACAGGTCTGTAGTTTCCAGCTTCACATCTACTGCCTTTCTTGAAAAGTGGCGAAACATAACCCGTCTTGTAGAAGCGTGGCACTATACCAGATGACATGGACTCTGACCACATAAGATAAACCGGGACACTAAGGCTGGTAGCACACCTTTTGAGAAGAATAGCTGGTATTCCATCGGGTCCAGGGGCAGAGTCTAGCTTAATTTCAGATATAGCTTCCATGATACTATCAGGTGTTAACACAATGTCATTGTCTCTACTGATAAGGGGTGGTACCGCAAATGTAGGGACTGCTGTGTCGGGACAGTTAGGGTCGCTGAAAACGGAGCAGAACTGTTGTTGAAGGATGTTGGCGAGTTCTTTCCGTTCAGTGACTAGTTCCTTATTGTCGTTCAGGAGGGTAGAAATGTTGTGTTTCACTTTGGAGAATGATTTGGCATAGGAGAAGAAATATTTGGGGTTACTTTTGATCCGCTCCACCGCTCTCCTCTCACCTTGTTCGAGATGGTTGACTATGGCCTCCTTTATCTCATAGCACACCAGCCCGATCTCGTCTTCAAGTTTCTTGATTCGGGCATTGTCACCGGCGCACCTTGCTGCGGAGAGACGAGTTTTAAGCTTAGACTTCCGTCTTCTGAGAGAATTGTAGAGCTTAGGCTTGCCTGATGGAGGTCGTTTCTTGGGAATGTTCGATATGCACGTGTTTAGTACTTTATCCGTGAACTTGGCAGGAAATTCCTCGAACGTACCAGCATCTCTCAGTTCATCCCAATCAATAGCTTCAAAAACCTTATTCAGTCGGGGAAAATCAGCTTGATTGAAATCTAATGCTCGAAAGTTCATTTCATCAAGATATGTAGCATGGGCCTCCTCCATCACACCAGGGTTGAAGGAGAGTAGGACGCTGACCATATCGTGATCAGATATATCGGTTGCTTCAGTTTTAACATCCGATATCAGTCGGTCATTGTTACAGAGAACTAGGTCCAAAATGTTGTTTCCTCTGGTAGGCACGTTGACCATTTGACTAAGAAGGTAGGTTGACATAAAGTTTAACAAGCGTTGGGCCGATAAATTTGATTCTGATGTCCCACCGCTGTGGATCTGAAGCGATCCCCAGTCAACCTGAGGTAAGTTGAAATCACCTGTTATGAACAACTCATAATCGTTGTCAAGGTTTTCGATAGCGTGCCCCAAGTGATCCAAAAGCTTTGAGAAGCTTGATAGGCTCGCATCAGGGGGTCTGTAGATGACTGCCACCAATAGCTTTGCAGATGGGTAAACATTGCACAGCCCCTGACAAGTACCGTCGTCGTAAAACTCTGAAGCTGACACTGGGAGAGACGACAATGAGTAGAGAAGAACACCTCCTCCACTCCTCTTGCTACGATCACATCTTGAAACTGAGTAGCCCGGTATCTGGAGTTGAGCGTCACTGTAGTATGACTTTAACCAGGACTCCGTAATCGCGATGAAGGGGAACAAGTGCCCTGACTCTCGTTTTTCCTCAACATGACCAATAAGGTCATTAAGTTTCCATCTGCCGACACTATTCGCAGACGGATTCAAGCTCCTCGCATTTAATAGAAGGAGTGATGAGAGTAAGGCATGGGATGGGGCGGTAGCCTGGGCACTCCTAGAGACATCATAGGCTGGGGTGCTGGAGCCGGGTACATCATGGTGGGGGGAGCTTGGAGAGCTGAAGTTGGCTGCGTGTGAGGATGGCACGCTGGTGCACCTTGGCTCATCTTCTTCTCCATCGCTTCTAACTTGGTCGCCATGCCCGTGACCAAGTTTCGCAACTCTAAAAAATTGCTCGATTCAGAATTGCTGACGTTCTGATTTGCACCATTTTGTTTCTGCTTCGCTTTTCGGGGGACACTGCTGGGTTTGTTGTTGTTGTTGTTGTTATTTTTCTTTCGAGCAGAGCGAGGGTGAAAATTCGAACAATCCTTTTTAGAACATGAACCGATGTCAAGCGCAGTTTTGCAGATTTCAGGATGGAAGAAAGGACAATTCTTGCCCTTTTTGCAACCCTTTCTACCTGTCGTCCCAGACATGCGAAACTGGTTACACACCCGGGGATGAATATAGGAGCAGCATTTCCCACTAACTTCCTTCTTCCCGCTCATACCGTGGGGGCAGTTCCAATTTAGAAAATTCCGACAAGTTTCGTTGGAGGATGGGGCAGCGTGATTCTCAGGTGTGTTTTGAGGAGGAGGACGATGCTCAGGTGTGTTTTGAGAGGGATCATATTGGGTTGACGATATAGCGTTCTGGAGAGCAATGCTTGATAAGTCATTACAGACATTAGAGCTGTCAGAAAACTGATCCCCAGCAGGGAGTGTTCCAGAATTATGACGTGACTTATGTTTTCTGGGTTCTATCGGATCAACAATATCATGACACTTATCACACAACCAAACAAATCCTGCAGGGGTATTCATGTTGGATAGTGTCTCGTGCAGCACTCTGTTCCTCTCGCAATCATGAGAACCTTTAAAACATCTAAAGCAGTTGAAAAAAGGCGGTACTTGCACAACTCTCCGAAATATAACTCGTTCTCCTTATCTTTATAACGAGCATTCCACCCAAAATAAACACATTATAAAACAGAGCCGGACATTTGAGAGGTGTGTTCCATGTCACGTGATATTTATTATTTGTTATCAGTAGTATTACATTACTCAAACATTACTATTCAGCAGCTGAGTAATCTGAGTAACTTTACAGGCAATGATTACAGGGTGCAATCTATTATCGGGGATATGGGTTTCTTCTAAGCAAGTTGTCAACATGTCCGGTTAGATAGCAATGTA